GGAGACAGAGGGGAAGGAAGAAGAGAAAAAGAAAGGAGCTCCAAGCTTTTTGATTTAGCTATCTTTGAATAATATCTTTCTTTCTACTTCAGCTGGCCTGAACCACAATCTTCCTATTTACCTTTGCCATGTAGCTGAGATGACTGGTGTGTGTCACTATACTCAACTTTTGTGGTTTTTAGTTGTTGAGATGAGATCTTGTAAACTTTCTGTACAGGCTGGCCTCAAACCTCAACCTCAATCTTTCCTGTGTCTGCCTTCCCAGTAACCAAGGACTATAGGATTAAGCCACTGTGTGTGTGTGTGTGTGCGCGCGCGCGCCTGAGGGCTGTTCTTGAGCTTTTGTGATTGAGGTTAGAGCTCTACCACTTGAGCCATAGAACTACTTCTGGCTTTTTGAAAATTAATTGGAGATGACATTTTCATGGTCTTTCGTGCCTTTGAAAGCTTCAAACCTTGATCCTCAAATCTCATCCTCCTAAGTACCTAGAATTACAGACAGGTGTGAGCCACTAGCATCTAGTCTTGGCTTGTGTTTGAGATAGGGTCTTGCTGTGTTGCCCAGGCTGGCCTGGAACCCATGATTCTTTTGGCTCTGCTCCTTAGTGATGAGACAGAGGCATGCAATTCTACACTCAATATGCTGGCTCCTTTACTGAGGAGGGAAGCAGAACAACATGGAACTCTAAGACAGGATTCAAACAGTGGGCTGGGAACCGCTTCTCTAGAGGAAGCTGTTTCCAGAGAGAAGAGAGGAAGGGCAAAAGTCCTCTCCTCCTTGGGGACTTGAAAAGCACTCCCAGAATCCCTCTTGTTGTCTCTCCTTCCTCTTCTCCTCACCTCCTCCCTCCTCCCTTCTCTTCACTCCTGAAGCGTGAGAGACAGAAATGGTGGGGGGGTACTTTCTCCTGCTCCTCACACAAAACACACCATTCACTTCTCATGATAATCTTGGAAGTCTGCTTTAAAAAATTAGCTGGTTATATTCATATTTATTATTTCTGCTAATAACAGTGTTTGGGAATGGTAGTGGGGGGGGGGAAGGATAGGGTTTTGTCTTAGCCTTTCTGGTTCACAAGAACAGGAAAACAACTAGAAATAATGTCGAAGGAGGAGGCCTGCCTTCTCTCCCCACGCAGCTGACTGACACCACAGCCACGGGAGTGAAATAGCATTCATTATCCCGTGACATTTGGAAGGCAGCTCTTTTACCTCCGCTTCCCCTGAGATGCGATAACAAAAGTTTGTCTGATCTTCCTTTCCCCCTCTCCCCGGCTCCCTGCCACCCCTCATTCCCTTTCATCTCTGCGTTTGAGGGCAAACGTTCTCCCCATGTGTCACTGAGCCAACATGGGAGTCCCCAGGGAGACCAGGCTGCCTCTTCTCTTCCTCCTTCAAAGGGCCTTTGAGAGCTAACGTTTGCAGGATGGATGGTGTGTGTTCCATTTTTTTTTTAGGAGGCTGGAGTCTGCTGCTGAGTAGGGCAGGGTGCCTTGGATGCTTTCTTTCCTCCTCTCCCCAGGATCCAATACAGAGTGAGAAGGTAAGCTATGGACTCTTGGGAAATGGGATGGGTTTGGTGGGTCTATTTCTGAAGGGAGGGACAAGCACCTGCCAATCAGTCAGAACAGCCCTGGCTGTTCTGGAGCCTACTGAGCCAAAGTACAAGGGAGAGGACATTCAGATTGCTGCACACAGTTGGTGTGGCCTTCTGAAGGCTTGGTCAGTCTGCTAGAAACCTTGGGAAGGCATGGAGACAGGGTCTTCAGAGAAACCCCTGGAGGAAATGTTTTTGCCTTCTTGGCATCCTGCTTGCCAGGGAGAAAGCCTGGGGAGGGGGAAGGAAGCTGTCTTCTGAACAGGAGAGGGGTGCTGCCCTGCAAGCTGCTGTTCCCCTCCACAGAATCCCCTCCTTACTACTCAGGTATATATTTGGAGAAGAGAGCAATGGGATAAACCATTCTTCATCAAACACCTCACACACAATCCTCGATGTACATCCCCCAAAAGGGCAATGGTCACCAACTCAGGTGCCAATCCCCGCAGCTGATGGGTGGATTGACAATGCAAAACCAAGAGCAGAGATGCAGTGATCACACTGGTCATCTGGGTGGCCAAAGTCAGAAATGTAACTAGTCATATATAAAAACGGAACAGTAAACTGAGTCCCATAAACCTATCTCCTTGATGCAACAATTATCAAGATTTGGCTCTATCTCTGAGAAGATTTTTTAACAATATGAAATCTTTAAAAAAACTTATTGCTATTAGAAAGGTGATGTACAGAGGTGTTACATTTACATAAGTCAGGTAGAGAGTATATTTCTTTTTTTTAGGGGGGGGGTCTGGTCGTGGGGCCTGAACTCTGGGTCTGGGCGCTGTCCCTCAGCTCTTCAGCTCAAGGCTAGCGCTCTACCACTTGATCCACAGCGCCACTTCTGGTTTTTTTCTTTTTTGCTTATGTGGTGCTGAGGAATCCAACCCAGGGCCTCAGGCATGCAAGGCAAACGCTTTACCACTGAGCCACCTTCTCAGCCCCAAGAGTACATTTTTTTTTTAGACAATGTCACCCCTTTCCTCTCTCTCTCCTAGTTTTTCCCTATCATCCCCATCGACACGTTGTAAACTTCATTTTCAACATAGCTTCCAGTGAGTACACTGCTACCTTTGTTCACTCTTTGTTGCTCCATTTCTGTGCCTCCCCGTATACTCCCAAAGATAGATAAGTGTTCTCATTGGCTGGAATCATAGGGTCTCTTGTCCAGGTCCTTCTGTGCCCTACTTTCAGTTGTACTCCAGGTGCATCCCCAGAACTCCTTCAAAGGTTAGCTTCCTGCCCCATACTCTCCTTTAAGAGTGTCTTCAGCATGGGGGGTGGGGTGGGTCTTGGATTTAGGAAGACTATGGTGAAGTAGGATGGAATTTTATCAGGTATCTAAGGTGGGAAGGGGAACATAAAGGGACACTTCATGAACTCAATGAACATTGATTGAGCATACAATATGAGCTGTGAATGACATTTTCAAGTGAGCATCTTTTTTTGGCGAGGAATCTGAAAAGTGATTGTGTATGTGCCTTTATTTATGTGCGTGCATGTGTACATGCACACACATACATGTACATTTCCCCCTCTTTGCTTTCAAATGAGCTTATGTATGTGACAGGATTGTGGGCTGTGGCTCAGGGGGAAGGGGCTGGGCTGTCATCTGTGGCTGGGCCTCATCATGCTGGCGTTGACTTCCTGTGTAGTGTGGCTAGTGTTGGGGAATGGCTCAGAGAGAGGCACAGGGTCTCTTTGGTGGGGTGGGGATCAGGAGGGACAGAGTGTAGACTTCTTTCCTTGTTCTCTAAGGAGTTCCATTTCCATTCTCTCATCCTGGGAGCTTGGTGGGCCAAGCAGGCTCCTCTCCCTTTCCACAGTGTGCCTCCTTGGCTAAGCCTGGCCTCTGGACACCTGTCTTAGGGCCTGCTGTTCCCTCCCTAGCTGCCATACTGGTCAATTCCTGATGACTTACTCAGTCTCTGTGTTGATCCATGGAAATTGACCAGGTAAAAAGCATCTGAGAGGTCCGAGTGTGGTAGCTCATTCCTGAACTTCCAGCCACTCAGAAAGGAGGAATCGAGAGTCTCACAGTTGGAGACCAGCCTGGGAAAAAAGTTGGTGAGTCTCAATCACAACAAAACGACCCACATGCCTGTCATCTCAGCTAAGAAGGAGGAATAGGCAGGAGTATCATGGTCTGGGCTGGCACTGGGATGAGAGGAAGGGGTTATCAGCAAAATAACCCCCAATAAAAAGGACTACGGGTGTGGCTCCAGCGGTAGAGTGCTCCCTAGCAAGCAGCAGACCTTGAGCTCATCAACCTCATATTCCCCTCTCCCACCCAAATTACCTAGAAATGTTTGTGTTTGTCCATTGCCTGAGGACTAGGCTGAGGATCTGGGCAGCCAGGGAGCCACCTCATCCTCAGGCTGTGTTGAGGTCCTGGGGCCTCTAGTGAAGATCATATCTGCTAGGTCACATCCTCTTCATAGTGCAAAACCCATAATACCCAGTGATAGGAGATTTGACAGCCCTGACTTCTTTATTGCTTTTGGCTGATCTCAGAAAAGCTGTTGATTTTTGGTTTGATTGCCTGTAAAGTGAAATAATAAACCAATTGTACTGGTTATCTAGAGATGTAGTGAGATCATGTCAGTGATTTTTGAAAAAATGTATGCAAATGTGACACAGGTATAAGGTATCTTATTATTCATATTACTATTATTATTAAGCAACTCTCAGATTTTGCTCTTTAGAGCAATTCTGGCTCTTTATATATCTCTCTATATTTTCTGCATCAGTACTAGGACTTGAACTCAGGACCTTCTACTCATTCAAGGCTAGTTCTCTACCTATTTAAGCCACACTTCCACTCTCTGGCTTTTTGCATACAAGAGTCTCATGGGCTTCTTTGCCAGGGCTGACCTTCAATTGAGACCCTCAGATCTCAGTCTCCTTGAGTAGTTAGGACTAGAGGCCTGAGCTACCACCTCCCAGGCTAACTTTTGTTTTAACTCACGGTTGTTTAGGCAGATCAAACCCAGTACTTTCCAATAGGAAATGTGCAAATAAATCCCCTGAGGTCCTCTTAAAATACCAACTTTGACTCAATGGGTCTGGACAGGCCTGGAGTTTGCATTTTCATGTTCTCAAATGATGCCAGTACTTCTGATGCAGGGGACTGATGCTCTCCTTCACAGGACAGGTGATAAAATCTTGAAATGAGTTGAGAAGGAACAACTTAAGATATGTGGGAGGTCTATGAGTTTATTAAAAGAGCTTGTAGTCAGAGACAGCTGTTGGTCACAAAAGATAAGAAAGATGTTTGGTCTCTAGTAAAACAAAGTAAATTTGGGGGGTGGGGAGAGACAGAGAGAGAGAGAGAGAGAGAGAGAGAGAGAGAGAGAGAGAGAGACAGGGAACAGAAATTTTAAAAGACTCAAGAAATGCTAAACCAGTCACTTTCTGGACTTCTCTGTGGAACAGCTGCCATTGGTCTTATTAAGAGAGTCACTGCTGCCAATTCTTGAGCCTAAGCTGTTGAGAATCTTGTCAATTTCTCCGGGGATGTTTTGTTTCTCTTCATTTTCAGTCTCCCTGTGGTAGAAGTAGTTGAAGTTGGAGACTATGACAGGTACCGGGAGGGCAACGGTGAGGACTCCAGCAATGGCACACAGAGTGCCCACAATCTTCCCTCCTGGGGTGGTTGGGCACATGTCACCATAACCAACTGTTGTCATGGTGACCACTGCCCACCAGAACCCATCAGGAATGCTGGAGAAATGGGACTCTGGCTCATCCACCTCGGCGAAGTAGACAGCGCTGGAGAAGAGGATGACCCCGATGAAGAGGAAGAAGATGAGCAACCCCAACTCACGCATGGAAGCCTTCAGGGTCTGCCCCAGGATCTGCAGGCCCTTGGAGTGGCGGGAGAGCTTGAAGATGCGGAAGACCCTCACCAAGCGGATGATTCTCAGGATGGCCAGGGACATGTTCTGCTGGGCGCTTGGCTCTGTCTCCTGGACCAGCTCTGTGATGAGAGTTGCGAAGTAGGGGATGATGGAGATGATGTCGATGATGTTCATAATGTTCCGGAAGAAGTCAGTCTTGCTGGGGCAGACCACAAAGCGGAGCACCAGCTCGAAGGTGAACCACACGATGCAGGTAGACTCCACCACGAAGAAAGGGTCGGTGAACATGGTCTGAGAGAGGGCTGTCTTGTTTGTATGGCGGCTGGGGTCTCTCACCACCTTTAGCTCCCTGTCTTCCCGGAACTCTGGGAGTGTCTCTAGGCAGAAGATGGTGATGGAGATGACCACAACCAGCACTGAAACCATGGCCACACCACGGGCAGCATTGGAGCTCTCAGGATACTCGAAAAGGAGCCAGAACTGCCTGTGGAAGTCATTGGTGGGGAGTGGTGTTTCAGGGTCTTTGATGAAGCCTTCATCTTCCCGGAACTGGTCCATGGCCTCGCTCCCCAGCTCATAGAAGGAAATCTCATCAGCAAAGATATCAATGGGGACATTGGCTGGTCGCCGGATTTTCCCACCAGATTGGTAATAATACAGGATTCCATCAAAACTGGGCCGGTTTCGGTCAAAGAAGTACTCATTTCTCATGGAATCGAAGAACTGCATCCTTTTCTCCCGGTCTCCCAACAGGGTCTCTGGGAACTGGTTGAGGGTTCTAAGTTGAGTCTCAAATCTCAGCCCAGCAATGTTGATGATTACCCGCTGGTTCCCTTCATTCATGAGTATTGGCTCTGGGGGATCCACACCATCTCCTGGGAGCTTGGAGAAGGCAGTCTCTTGGCTTGTGCTGTCCTGGATGAGGATCTTCCAGTTAGGAAAAGGGCTACTTCCAGGCCGGCCTTTGGGGCTGGTTGGATCAAAGTCTGTGGCATAGCCTGGTTCTTCCTGGATTTCATCTGAGTTATCAAAATTGACCAGAGCAACCTCCATTTCTTTCCAGCCACACACATCCATTCTAGGGAGAGTCAAGGAAGCAGCATGAAGACCCTCTGCCTTTACTGCCTGCTGTGAGCTGTGAAGAAGAAGAAATCAATCATATGGAAGCCAGGGTAGAGTACAGTTGGCTCTTGATTATTGAAGCAAGATATATCAATGGGCTAAACAATGAGTTATTTTTAGTTTGAGAAGGAATATCAAGGTTATTTTGGCAACATTCCTCCCCTATGATCCATTTGCACTACCTGAGTTCATGATAAAACTATTCGAAATTGCAGGAAATGGAGGCATGGCTCAACTGGTAGAGTGCCAGCCATGTGCGAAAAAGCAAAGCAAGAGCAAAAGACCCTGAGTTCAAGCCCTCAGGACAGACAACCAAACCAAACCAAAACCAAAACATAGAGAAGTAACCGGACAGAGAGATTTCAATACACAGTGGGGCTGGGGTCCTAATAAAAGAAAGGGAATAGATCTTTTTGTGTTTTTTGGTGCTAGCTCTGGAGCTTGAACTCAGGGCCTGGGCGCTGTCCCTGAGCTTTTGTACTGGGATTCCATTTCAGGGCCTTGTGTTTGCTAGGCAAGTGCTCTATCTATCTCTTGAGTCATAACTCCCAGATTGATAATAAAAAAAGAATACTTTTGTATTTGTGTGAAGTTCTTTAGTCTACCCAGCATTTTGCCACACCCATCCTGAACCTTAACTCTTTTCTTTCACACCACTAACTAGTCTCTCATACATCCATTAAGATTGTATCTTCAAAATATATCTAAGAGTTTACCTTTACCATCACCTGTTGGACCAAGTGATGAGGTCTGGTCTGGGAGTGGGTCTTGTTCAGAAGGAAGTACAAGAGGGTAGAGGTGAGGTAGCTAGCCCCCAGCATCCTCTATAATAATAGGCTATTGCTGCCCTGGGCTGCTCATCGGAATGGGTGACTTTGAGGCTAGAGTAAATATCATACATATGTAGGTTGCTTGGTAGAAAGGTGATGGTTGTCTAGCTATTATTTCTGCCAACTTTTCTACATCATAGGAACTTTAGAAGCCACCAGCCATTGGAATATTTTGCCTGGAACCCAGATTCATAGGGACTGCATCATTTGGGGTGGAAGTAGTGTGTGTGTGTGTGTGTGTGTGTAATCTTCCTAGTTCCACCGATCTCTGTTGTCAATGGGGCAGGGGTGGAGGTGGGGGGATGCACTCTTTGCTGAGCACTCAATTGAGGTGCTGCCCTCTTTGGGATGTATGCTGAGTAGTTGGGTTATTGGAAGCAGTAGTTATGAGTTCTGAGAACAGAGCCAGGGGACCTGAGTTCAAATCCTGCCACTGCTGTGCTGGTGACTCCATGTACCCTGATGAAATTAGTAACTTGGCGGGTCATTATGAACACAGGGTAAAGAAAATCAGTCAAGGACTGGCTCTAGTCTTCGTGCTTCATCTCTTAAGACTTTTCTTAAAACAACTTACCGGATTGTATGACTCAGTTTTCTGACCTGTGGAATGGGTAAAAATAATGTCATTTCCCATCTCAATGATTATACTACAAATTAAATGAGGTAAAACAGTACAAGCACTTTGTACATGGTAAATTATCTTTTTTGGGGGGGGGGGTCCGATCGTGGGGCCTGAACTTTGGGCCTGGGCACTTTCCCTCAGCTCTTCAGCTCAAGGCTAATGCTCTACCACTTGAACCACAGCGCCACTTCTGGCTTTTTTTCTTTTTGCTTATGTGGTGCTGAGGAATCGAACCCAGGCCCTGATGCATGCAAGGCAAGCGCTCTACCACTGAGCCACCTTCCCAGCCCCATGGTAAATTATCTTAACATCAAGTAATTACCCTCTACTCTTCCTCTCCCTTTCTCCTGCTCCACACACAGACCCAATATAGCATACTTGTGGGCAGAAAAACATATGTGAAAGATTGCATGTTTCTGCTCTTTTGAGCTCAGCTTAGAGGATGAGGATTGTCTGTGGGTTCAGCCTTAGATCCTGCGTTCTCTTGCAAGTGTTTAGGGTATAGGATGGTGTTTCATAGGGTCACCTTCAGTCCTTGCTGGCAAGTGTCCATCTTAAAGCAGATAGAAAAGTGGCTGCAGGGGACTAGGGATGTAGAACAAAACCAAGTTCCAACATGGTCCACTCTGTTCTGAGGATGTACAGTGATTATCTGCTAAGCCTGCCTTTGTCAAGCAGGTGAATGGATGAAGGGGAAATGGCAAAATCTGTATCTGCTTTGTCTACGACTGGTTCCGAAGGGCTTGGCCTATCCAGTGTTCAATCTCTGGTGAATGAATGGCTGATGAGTGAATGAATCAATGTGATAGACAGTATGCAGAGCCAGGACACCTGCATGGCCAATACTACTTTGGGATCACTGATGGCTTGAGTTACCTTATCCAGCCTCCCAGTTATTATCTGTAATAAGAAAATATGCTGATTTGAAGAAACCAGATTAGAACATATAGAATCACTTCATCCATACAAAAGTCTAGGAAATGCAAACCAAGAGTGATCTATCACTACCAGATGAGCAGTTGCTTGGGTGGTTGTGGGAAGAAAGGATGAGATTATAAATTGGCCAGTGTAAACTTTCCTCCTCCTCCTCCTCCTCCTCCTCCTCCTCCTCCTCCTCCTCCTCTTCCTTCTTGTTCTTGCTCTTCTTGCTCTTGTTCTTCTTCCAGTATTAAGGCCTGAACCCAAGACTTGGATGCTATTCCCTTAGATTTTTGGTTGAAGGCTGGCACTCTATCACTCGAACCATATCTCCACTTTTGGCTTTTTGCTGGTTCATTGGAGATATCACACAGACTTTTCTACCCAAAGCTGGCTTTGAACTAGGAACCTCAGAAGTCAGTCTCCTGAGTAGCTAGTATTACAGGTGTGAGATTCAGGTACCTGGCTGCAGTTCCTATTTCATAAGGACTAAGATTGGAGCTAGTTCTGTCCTTGAACTCACAGCCTGCTGCTGCTTCTACCTCACTCTGGCCCTACAGGCTCCACAGGAGATGAACTTTGGGAAAGTGAGTCTCTCCAGAGAGGGAGGAGTCGTGGAATTGAGAATACTCCCTCTGGCTCCTCTGAGTTTGGCAGGAGCCGGCCCTGTTTGCTTGTTGAGGCTTCTGACAGCTTCCTCTCCAAGTTCAAGGTCTTTTACTCTGTCTGGCCTTACACAAAATGGCTCTCACCAAAGGCTGAACTGATCATCACTTTCAAGAATCTGATTCTTGTCAGTCTCTGTGCTTGCCTGTCAGAGAGCTAAGATCACACACAGCATTGAATTTTGGGGGATGCTAGTTCTGAGGCTTGAACTCAGGGCCTAGGTGTTGTCCCTGAGCTTTTTTTTTTTTTTAATGATGCTAGCACTCTACCATTTGAGCCACAACTCTACTTCTGGCTTGTTGCTGGTTAATTGGAAATCAGTCTCAAGGATTTTCCTGCCTGGACTGGCTTCAAACAGTGATCTTCAGATCTTAGCTCCTGAGTAGCTAGGATTACAGACACAAGCCATCAGCGCCCTCCTCACACAGCATTTGAATGGACCTCTTTCCCCTCTGACACACATATCATGCTTTCCTCCCTCCCTACTGCTATGTATGTGGGTCCTGCTACCTGCACACCATACTTCTTCACCAGAAGGTGAAGTTTCCTTAGGGATGCTGGGTAAAGCCATTTCTGGCTGGGAAGGTGGCTTAGTGGTAGAGTGCTTGCCCAGCATGCATGAAGTCCTGGGTTCAATTCCTCAGTACCACACAAACAGAAAAAGCTAGAAGTGGTGCTGTGGCTTAAGTGGTAGTGCACTAGCCTTGAAGAAGCTCAGGGATAGTGCCTAGGCCCTGAGTTCAAGATCCAGGACTGGCACACACAAAAAGGCATTTCTATCCCTCCTTCTTTGAGAGATCTTTGGGTTCCTCAGCATGTGGTACCCAGCAGGAAGCTGACCCACTCACATTTCCCGGGCATCTTATAACCTTTGCTCACGGAGCCAGATGGATTTGTTAAATGGCATATTCTCACCTCCAGACATTTGCTTTCTTCCCCTCTGTGATGGTCCAAACATATTGTCACTTAGGGTTTCTGGGAAAGATGCCGATATAGCTTGCATGAAGTAGGCATGCAATAGATAAGGGGCTGGACCTTTTCTGGCAAATTCTCCTTATCACTTCCACTGCTCTGGTGAACCACAGTGCTCCCAGCTGCCCCTGTGCCCTGTAGCACTGCTTGTGGGTACACAGGTGAAAATGAGTCTTTGTGGTATGGTGTTCTATCTCCGATTAGACTGGGCACTTCATGAAGGCAGGGCTTTGGAGACTTGCCTCTGGGTTTCTGCCACAACTGTCCTTGTGCTGACATCTGCACTGCTACAGACAGGGGCCATGGGTCTAGCTTTGCCAGGTCATGGAGCTATACTGAACAGGCGGGGTCGGAGCCTTTTGTTGCCTAGCAACCTGAACATCGCCTCCACAATCAGGTGAGGCAGCAGCTGTCATTAAGTCTGAGGATGGTTGCAAAAAGTCATTCTGCAAAGACAACTGTGTGTACACGGTGCCTCAGGCCCCCAGGCCCCAGGAGGGTGGTGCTGTGCTATGGCCAAGTTCAGATGTTGCAGGGCTGGTAGCTGGTTGGAGACCAAGGGGATTGGCAAACAGGCCTGGCACAGGGAAGGTTTCTACTTGGGTTGTGGAGTGCAAGAAGTGAGGATTGCAGGAATACTGAGAAGGTGATGATGGTGAAAGGCCAATGACAGCGCTGCTAGCAGCTGGACAGAAGAGGGTGCTGTTGTCCTGCCAGAAGCAATCCTTGATGGCTCTGTGTACCCCTTCCCTTCCATTTTTTAATGTCTCCTTAACCTTGTATGGCCAAACTAGGCTACAAATCTTGCTAGTCTATTTCAGGATGCTTCGCAAACCCATTCCTTCCTGTTCTCTGCACTTTCTTCAGCCAACCTGAAGCTTGGATTCACACTGACCCAGAGGCCTAACTTCACTTCAGAGTCAAGAGAGTCAGATCTGGTAGACTATCACCCAACTCTAGAGCTTTAATGTCCCAGCTGAAGAATGGTA